AGTGCTCTTGCCTCTAAGCACACCTCTGCCTTTGTGGGTTGTGTTTCGGAAACTAGAGGAAGAAAGGGGAGACCGTGGTGTGAGTTTTGCAAAAAAGCCGGTCATACCCGTGAGAAGTGCTAGAAATTACATGGCAAACCAGCTGAGAAAAAACATTCAAGAGCTGAAGGCAATATGGTAATTTCTGAGGAATTATCCTTTACCCCACATCCATATAAACAGCTCCCTTCAGTTCAGCTCAGATGGAGGTTCTCTTACAAATGTTTTCTCAGAAGGGCCTTAGTAATGCTTTAGTTGCTCATAAAGGTAATTGCTTACTCAATTTATCTGCATATTTTGTAAAAAAGCAAATGTGGATTATTGATTCAGGGGCATCCGATCATATGACTGCGGATATTATACTCTTTCATCAGTACTGTGAGTGTAAGAAAATTTCTTCTATTAAGATCGCTGATAGAACAAGTTCTACAGTGGTACGAATTGGCTCAACCTATATATCACCAAATTTGGTTCTACATTCTGTCCTCTACCAAATTTGGACTACAATCTATTATTTGTAAGCAAATTATGTAAAAACTTGAACTGTGTAGTTAAATTTGATAAAGGGATATGTGTTTTTAAGGACTTGGACTTAGGGAAGATGACTGGCAATATTAAGAAGGAATCAGGACTTTATCTTCTACCAATCACAACATCACCTCTAAATGGACAAACCACAAGTGCAATATGTGCTAATTCCGTATTTGTAGGATCTTCTAGTATTGAACAATCTATTATGTTATGACATTATAGATTAGGACATCCAAATTTTATGTATTTGAAACAACTATTTTCTGTTTTATTCATAAATAAAAATTCAAGTTCATTTCAATGTGAAGTGTGTCAGTTTTCTAAACATATTCACAGTTTTCTTAACAACTTTTTCCTGTGATCAGTGCTTGATGAATGATGAAAAGAGTGTGATCAGATTGACACTGTTCATATCTCATTATTGCTTACAAACCCTTAAAACCCTTTGCATTGATCTATAGTGATGTATGGGAACCGGGTCGGGTGAAAAACATTACTGGTACAAAATGGTTTGTCTCCTTCATTGATGATCACACTAGAATAATCTGGGTCTATCTAATGAAAGAAAAATCAGAGATTGATCAAATTTTTCAAAAATTCAACACTATGATCCAAGCACAATTTCAAACAAATATGCAAGTGTTAAAAACTGATAATGTCTGTGAATACTTTGCATCCAACCTTGAAAAGTACCTTACTGACCAAGACATTGTCCATCAGAGTTCTTGTGCTTACACTCCTCAACAAAATGGTGTAGCAGAAAGAAAAAATAGACATATCCTTGAAGTGTCTCGCTCACTCATGTTTATTACCACAAATGTTTCTAAATTTCTTTGGGGAGAAGCTATTCTCACTGCCACATACCTGATTAATAGGATACCCTCCCGTATTCTTAAATTTAGAACACCTTATGACTCCTTTGTTCAAGCATTCTCAGAGTCTCATATTCTTCACACAATTCCTTTTAAAGTCTTTAGCTGCTCTGCCTATGTTCACATTCACACCCATCTCAAAGGGAAACTAAATCCTAAAGCCCTTAAGTGTATCTTTGTCGGGTATTCCTCCTCTCAGAAAGGTTGTCCAATCACCCACCGGTTCTATAATACTATGGATGTCATATTTTTATATAACAAACTCTTTTCTCCCATTCTCGATATTCAGGAGGAAACATCTGGTACTCAGGAATATCAATTGTGGGATGTGAACACACCTCTATTACATGTTCTATTAACAATATTAGAAAAAGAACCCGTCTCTCAAACTACCAAAGAACCTGAACTCCATCACAGAGACTGATAACACATTATTTGCAATAAGTAAGTTGCGTGTTTATATTAGGAGAAACAAAACTCAAAGTAAATATAATTACCTGAGTCAACTATACACTGTCATGATTCAACTCCTGGACTAAGCACCCAGAATAACACAGGTAATGAGATCTCTAACTCAACTGATGATATTGGTTTACTTATTACTTTATGAAAGTGTTCGCTCTTGTAAAATGCATCTCGTACAGGATTATATCTCATATGGCAAACTATCTTCAAAATATTAGACTCTTATGAGTAAGTTTGACAGTATCCCTTTAGAACCGAGAACGGTTCATGAAGCTCTCAAAATTCCTGAGTGGAATGCTGTTTTCCAAGAAGAAATTTCACCTCTTGAGAAAAAAGGAACATGGGAGTTATCTGATCTACCTTCAGGGAAAACTCTAGTAGGATGCAAGTGGATCTTCACCACTAAATACAATCTTGATGGTAGTGTGAATCGCTACCAAGCACGATTTGTTGCTAAAGGGTTCACCCAGTCATATGGAACCGATTATCAAGAGACGTTTGCTCTAGTTGCCAAGCATAACACAATGCAGGTATTATTCTCTTTAGCCTTTAATCTTGATTAGTCTCTTTTTCAGCTTTAATGTAAAAAATGTTTTCCTTAATGGTGATCTAGAACAAGAAAATATATATGGGAAGTCCCACCCTGGACTTGAGATAAATCCACAAAAAGTATGCAAACTAAAAAAGGCACTGTATGGTCTCAAATA